AATGCAGAACTTTTTTTTGCGATGAGCATTTATTTTATACTAAAATATCTGAATTACTTTGAATAAAACTGGAAATTATGTCCTTAAAATAATTAAACAAATAAGGCACCAATGTTTTTGTAAGATATTCACATCTTTTAAGGACATTCGGTAGACTGATTCCCCACTGTTGGTTCAACCCCAAAACTTGTTTGTATTTAAAATTATGACAATGCATATTTAGATTGAAACAAACTGTGATAAAGGGAATTATATTATATAACAAAGGGCAAGGTCACCAGAGTTCAACTATGTTACTGGTGCTCGATTACCCGTAGAAATAATTGTATGTATATCAGACAACATGGCACATAAATTTCTCCATATATATTACCATTGTTTTATATTCTGAACAGTGTTCCCTTTTCTGTACGCATAAAATGAATTCAATGTATTTTAAAGTTGATACAAAAATCTTGATCTACTTGCCACCAGTAAGATTCAAATCATGGTTTTATTGGAAACACAGCCTAAACACAACAACTGTTCCTCTCTTTACTATTACCTTTTTAGCTCCGCTGTCGACTTTGTCGAGCGGAGCTTATCATATGAGTGATTGTCTGTCGTCGTCCGTGTCAATGTTTTACTTTTTCGACTTCTTCTTGAAAACTACAATCCTGAATGCTTTGATACTTGGTGTATATGTACCTTGGGTAGACCTCTCTCAGATTTGTTCATTTCATGATCATATCTTCAATTCTCTAATTTTGGTGAATATTTTTGGTAAAAAGTGATATTTTCGACTTCTTGTTAAAAACCGCAAGTCCAATTGCTTTGATATTACATATATAGGTACTACATGTAGACCTCTCTCAGATTTGTTTATTTTGTAATGATATCTTTAGTTCTCTAATTTTGGTGAATATTTTTGTCATTTTTGGTAAAAAGTGATATTTTTGACTTCTTGTTAAAAACCGCAAGTCCAATTGCTTTGATATTACATATATAGGTACTACATGTGGACCCCTCTCTGATTTGTTCATTTTGTAATGATATCTTTAATTCTCCAATTTTGGTGAATATTTTTGTCATTTTTGGTAGAAATTGCATTATGTTTTCTTGGAAACAAATCCTTCTTTCTCCATGAAAACTTTAAATATGAATGACGTGCATGTATGTGAATCATCACACAACAATTTATGAATGATTTACTGTTACTGCTCTAGCTGGCTTTCTTGTTACTAGTTTCTCCAATTACTTACACTACCTGTTCTCAGAGAGCTGCTATGAATGCAGAAGTGTAACAATACTTTTTAAAGGTGACGTGCACCAGGGGGTGGGGGGTGATACCAGTATACTACTTGTTTTTATGTGCATACTGTTGGAACACACAGAAAATGATGATATATTTCATGGATAATGTGACAATAAAGTACCATATCAGCTAGTAATATTTCACACTAAACATCACAACTGTAAGTGATATGCACCATGGTGTTATTAAACACAACATTTTTGTTTCCAGTTCTTGCAACAATAGTTGAGATACCAGATTCACAAGCAATTGAGATATCTAGTTCTCCAGTTTTTACATGTAGTGGACATGGTAAACCATTGCCAGAAGTGT